ATGAAATTATTTTATTGTCTATAGTATAGTAGGTATCTACTTATTAGCTGTAGTTGTAGCGTGCATTAACATGTCAGTTAATCTATTAGACTAACAGACTGTTAATGCATTAAATCAGGACAAGTATTCATCTATTATTCATTATCATTTATTTATATGTAGGTAAACAATTTTGAGGAATTGTTTGATTTGATACCTACTGCTGAATTTCACCTTCGTAAAACCTGCCACAAACTAAAATTCCATCCCAACCATCCAGATAATTGGCGATCTTCCATCTTGTATTTTTCAAGGCACTTTCTTTCAAGCACAATCACGCTTTGGAATTAACTCCCAGTAGAACAGTATTTTCAAATCGATACAACATCATAACCTTGAAGGAAAGACCATATTTTTTTTAGAAGACCGGCAGCACACCTGTATTTCCTCCGATGTTGTGAATGCTCATGGGCGGTAATCACTTACCTGATTATGAGCATCCACTTAAAACACACAAACGAACAAATTAGAGGTTTTTGCTCCATTTTGCAAAGTTAATGTGTTAACGATTATAGTTAGACAAATCATAACAACTACATAAGCAATAAAATTTAGGAACGTAGCGTTAACACCGCTACATAATTTTCGTCCTACTTACACTAAGATCTTGCTACTTGTTTTTAATTTCTTACATCGATATTTGTTACACGGACGTAAAAAAAGATCCACTTTGACTTGTTTGCTCTCTTTTTCTTCTTAAACTTTTTCCCTGCTGTCGATAAATAAGGCTAAATACATATGTATATTGCCATGTGGTCCTGGCATAGAATGGGACACCTTTTCCTATCCTGTAGATGTCGTAAGAGGGCACTAAATGAACTTAATGGTCAAAAGATGGGTAACAGCGTCGCTCTTAAAAAATAACCAAAGCCTAATTGTGGTTGCCAACCTGTCTGCCAAGCGTGGTAACTACTAGCAAAAATGTTCTTACGGGGAAGGCCTATGTTCAGCAGTGGACAGTTAACGGTTGGTATAATAATAATAAAATCATATAAAAATAAAAAAAGTTTATTATATCCCGTTAAAAAAATAGTAAATAAAAAAACTATCAGTGTCAGTAGTATTTGCAAGAAAATTTTAATATATTCTAAAAAAAAATACAAAATTATTTTGTACAGAAAATATTATATGATTTGCGTGTCAGTCAACGTACATTCTATGTATATAAGGACGCTAATGTACGAGTATATTTGTTTTTGGGGACAACAGTAAGCTTTGTGAAAGATAAAGAAACTTGCCTACAGCGGTTTGCACAAAATGTGTGCCTGTGCAGATGTCGCTTTATACATAAGGCGTTGCATTAATGATAGTATTGTTCGTAAATTCTGTCTATGTATGAATTAGTGACAACTAGTAACTTTTCCCGCAAATAGTTTAAATAGTTAATTACGGCTGTAATTGTAACAAAATTATTATGAAACTAATATAGAATAAAAGAAAATAGAATTAGAAAACAATAACAACAATAAACAGATTAGAAGAACAATCAAAATCAGTGTACAATTAACAAAGATATTATCACCCTTCTATTCTATTAAAGTTGTTTCTAACAATAGTATTATTAGAAAAATATTATTTAACAGTAGGTCTTCATATTTTTTATAGATTATAAAATTTTATAGTTTATTACTCACAAAATTAATGTTTTTATAATATTATTCAATAATTTATTAACTTCATTAAAAATCTAAATTTGTAAAAAAATACTTTCATTTGAGTCTTTGATCTTCTTTCTAAGTTACTAAGTATGTCACTTTGCAAACAATCATCTAAAAATGAGTGTCTTTTTCTTCAAAAGTTAAGTTTTTTCAGTTACCATTTTATATCCCGGAGACAATGATATTGAAAATATCACCTACTGACAATAATAAATATCACCCATAAGACAAAGTTAACGACGTCCTACATTTAAGACATAACGACTATAATAAAATAGAGTGTCGTTCGTATTAATTGTGAAAGTGACAACGTAACGATTGTATAAAACTCAGATGGGATACTATAGTATAATATACTTTTATCATCACACCGTGCCCCATTGACAAGGAATTCATCTTCATACGCTAGAACAATGTATCTAAATGGTCGCATACAGTGCGGTTTCAGGGAAGTTTTCTCCTGCGAACGCTCACACTATAGAATAAACTCCTTGCCGAGGTTTTCTCTATAGACTACAGTTTGGGGTTCTTCAAAAAGTGTTCATAACAGTGTTTTCATGGTTGGCAACGCGCACGTGCTACCACTAGTGTTGCAAGCGTCTATAGGTTATAGTGACCGTTTACAATTGGACACCAATGAAGGTGGTAAGCATATGGGCTATATGCTTATTTGCCATCTTAGTGATATAAATAATTATGACAGCTATACTGGCAAAATGTCGAGTTTTTGTCACGACCATTTATTACTAATAAAAGTTAACAAAGGTTAACGCACAGTTATCGGAACGATATTTTATTTCTGACAGTTTCATAGACAAATACAGACTACAGCTTCCATTTTTATTATACATATCTCAGTCACAATTGGATTCTACCAAATAACATAAGCAATAAGTACTTTCTTGTAGATAGATACGTACTGAAAATTAAGTATTTATTTATTTTTTTATATACATTCTGATTATCGTTGTATAACTGAAGAGAGTTTGAACCAATAAACAACATTTTTATTTATATATCTAAGTAGCTATCTATAATTAAATAATGTAGTTACAGAAATATTTATAACTCTACCAACTTAATTACTCTAAACATAGCGATAATTTGCTAATGAAAACTACGCTTACCTTACATTATAGATAATGCATACGCATTACGTCTGTTATCGGGTAAACACCCTGATACAAACCTTGTGAGTGCCAACATACAAACAAGTATTATACATACCTGCATCTACAATGCACAAGCATTTTCACTCTGTTGGGTTAACACCCAATTATATTCGTAGTCATACTGAAAATGGGCCTACGCTCCGATGTCTTCCAACCTCCACTTACACGGGAGAAAAGGAATTATTAGTAATGGGTTCTAACATCCCCATTGCTAGTAATGTGCCCTAATTGTTCAACCTCCACATAGTGCTTCCTGGAAATCAACGTAGTTAATCATTTATGATCGCGACACGATTGGCCAACTGACCTGCTTTCATCTTCACCAATCATCTGTCACTAGTGCTTAGCTAGCATATATGTGTCGATAGCGTAGACAGGGTTACCATTTCATTTTCACCTATTAAAAAGAAAATCTTCCCTTACAGTAACCTCGCGACTTCTGGTATCTAAACTAACTAGACACATTTAATGGTCACTGTAATATACACCATCTTAATCTCTACCGCATTACAACCAACACATATTACTTACATTAATATGCTACTCGTGTCCAACCACAGAACTGTTGGCGTATTCTCCATTGCAATAAAAACTTACACGACATCCGTCACCGCGTTCTTAACTGGCCATATTTAAATTATATCCTTTACTATAGGATCATTTACCACGAAGACCTTTGTCACAAAGACTGCAAACTAGGCAATGAAGGGTAATGTTTATTATCTTGTACTGACTAACCGACAACACTCAGTGAATTACTGGTATCGATTGTCATTTCTTTCTTGGTACCACCCACCGTGTCACAATATTACATTTACTAAGATAAAGTGAGTTGTATTTTTAATCTATTGTATTTATGGGCGATTAATCGTCATTTGTATCGTATATTTATACAGATAATGTGCTATTTCGGAGCTATCCGCGAGTGTACTATAATTTATGTTTTTTACAATAGAGAGCGAACTTGAACTTACCGCATACAATTATATTAAATGCACCCATGTGAATACCAAAGCGAGAAATGGCACTAATAACATATTTGATAACCTAATTAATCTGAGTAGCATATAGATTACAATATTATCTAGTATATATCTGGCCCAGCTTCGCACAGATAGTTTCTAAGTAGTTTCTAATACTTTTATACAATTTTCTACTAATGTTATGTTATAAAATTTCAAGTATACTTATTGGAAACAAATTTGTCCCAGTAGTAAAATATATATTGAATAAGTTAAGAGTTTTTTCCACAAACTATTATATTATACTATTATATATATTATTGTTATACTGTTATTGTATTACTAATAAAAATAACTTTGAGATTAATATGAAAGTGTTTTTTAAATAAAAAAAAAACAAGTCAGTTTAAATATGATTGAGTTATGCGGTAACATAAAAAAAAATTATAAGCAAATTGAGTACCTATTCCTTTTTTGAAGAATTTTTTTAAATTGTTTAGAACAAAATAAAAGTACCTAATGTTAGCCATAACATCTAATTGCTTGTAAACTCTTCAGGTGAAATAACATGTCGTTAGTTACGGTACTTACTCCGATAAAGCGTTATTGGTGTAGGTATCAATCATATATATATATAGGAAAAACTCTATAACTGTACAAAGACTAAATAAACTTTTTACTTTGAAGAAACTCGTGTCTATTTTATATCGTAACTTTACAAATACTTTTAATTGCTATAACAACGTTAGATGTATTTTGTTATTGTGGAGCTTAACCAAAAGATTTTTTTTTACATAATTATTGATTCAGGATTATACTCGTAATTTGATCTTAAAACAAATGCTTCTTAGTTACCACCACAGTTTCGAAGACGTTAATATATGAATTAAATATGCAATTGAGGAATTTTGGTTTTGATACTTCAGATATAATGTACTAGCATATTTTAGTATTGAAAATATTATGTTACAATATTCTCTCTCTATGTAAAAAAATCAATTAGGTAAATACGACTGACACGTGCACTTGTTCTATTACTACTTATTTTTATTTGTAGTAAAAGTGAGTAAATATGTAATACAGATAAAATAGGAATTAACGAAATATATTCTTTGTTTCTATTTAGTGCTTCAACGAAACATTATAAAAAAAGAAAACATTTGTTTCAGAAAATGGGACGCAGATACCCCAGCGACCGCCAACTGAAGCGGTAAAAGAACGCCTGTGGCCACTTAGCGTGACCCAACCGAAGAAAATATGTATGCTATAAGGCCTCTAGTTGCTTCCAATATTAGGCCTAGTAGCGTTTTTGAAGTCATTAATAGCACTGAGTCTCTAGTAGAAAATGTAAACATAACGAGGACTAACAAAAGTTTTAATGACGAAGAGTTTATATTTGATAGAACTGATGTTCGCGCTATATTTATTACGTTATACACAATCGTCTTCTGTTGTTGCTTCTTTGGTAAGTGTTAACATTTTTGTTTTTATCTAGGTATCTTAATTTAGTTCTAACTCTCCGATGAAAAACACTACTAACAAACTATATTATTCAGATGTGAGTATGTCCAGTGTTATATTCACCACTGTGTACGGTAGCAATTGATAAATGACTCTTGTCATCCCACCAAAGACTATAGATATAATCTTAGTAAGGATATTTTATATCTACCTTTCAATAAATTTAAAATTATTATTAAAAAAATACTTATTGGACAAAGCCTGTTATTCACTAAACAATTACTTGAATGACAAACGTGCATGGTCTTAGTCGATAACCACCGTACTTTTTAATAATCAAGTTAGACATAGTACTTTATAAATAAATATATATCTACTTATACATATATTAACAAAGACTTAAAAGAGCAACTGCTGAGTTTCTTGCGGGATCTTCTCAGCAGACAACAACTTTCCGAACCCTTCAGCAAATTAAAAAAAAATAACCATTTAAAAGTGCTTGCAAACAAGTCTATTTAAATAAAGATAATTTGAATTTCAATTTATACATATTTATTAACTTCAAAAAGAAGGAAGATAATAATTTGACTATGATTTGATTTCTTTGTTTATTTATAAAATTTTATAAAACAATAAACCGTTTTAAGCTTATAATAATTTTCCATAGATTAAAATCAGTTTTTTGAGAAACCAATTCTTATTACTGGTACCAACTATGAAATAAAGAAGTATTTATTTATACTTTTATTGCACATACAAATTAGGTACCTTGTTATAAATAAATGTGCAAAAGATCTTTTTAATTACACTAATAACGACGGTTCAATTACGCTTTGAAATGTTTCTTTGTCATTCTCTACATTAACTTTGTTATTAAAAGTAGGTAGGTAATTACTGAATGATATAAAAGTAAGCTCACGCTGCCGTTTTATGTAACTTCGAAAAATAAAATAAGATATTTATTTGCTATGATTATAAGAGCTTAGTTTGAAGCAAGTTAAAGTATATTTTTTATAAGTACTCGTAGCAGTTTCGTACGATTCTTTTGAAAGTTAAATACAACCCCATACCACTAGCTGATAACGTAACTTTTAAAATAAGAATTGGTTAAGTATTTTTTTAATTTACCCGTTACAAATATAAGAAGTCAAATTCTTTTCCTTTATTATTTAATTCAAATTTATAAAAGAATCAGTAACGTCTAAGTTATATTTAGTTACATCAATAACATTATTTATCTACTAGTCTTCAGCTACGAGTTCATATACTAGGAGAAATACATAGATTACTTTTTATTTGGATCAATAAACGTATCCTGTTTCATCATATCACATCAATCAATCAAATCTGCTGAACGTAAGTCCTCCCCTAGGGAGGTTTTGTAGGTAGTTGCCATGCTTGGCAGGCGGGTTGGCAACCGCAGTTAGGCTTTAGAGATATTTTAAAAAGTACGCTGCTGCCCATCTCTTGTCCTTCCTCAGTCGACTTTTACGACACTCACGGGTAAGGGTGGCCTACTCTATGCCAGGACCACACGGCAGCATCCTAGTTACCCAGTCAAAACCGCGAGTAAAAACTTGTTATAAGTAAATTTCAGCATCTTATCTAAATTTTAATCATATAATACAATTCTAATTTGTTCAAAATCAAGATTTAGTTGAAGATAGATTTTAATTTCAAATATTGGCACTAGTAATACGATCATATTATAAAGCACGATAAATAGCTAATATTAACATTGATAAAGTCATTCAGGTCAAGTGTGAAGGTACACTGTGACATTGGTAGTTTTAACAATGTTGAAAATAAATGTAACAATAGGCGTTAGGTTTCAGACTTTTATTTATACAAAAAAAGGATAAGTATTTTGTTTTCAGCTGGTTGCTTGCCTCGCCTTCGCACGGGTATACGAGTACTTTCCTATACAATTTTTCAAACATTTTTTGTCATATAAATCTTATCCTGACAATTATAAACACAACGTTAGCTGTTTCGTTTTTTTTATATAAATTAATGTTTATTTCCATCTAAAACTTATATATTTTTATTTCAAATTTTTAAACAAATACAAATTTTGATTGATGCAAGAAGCATTATTTAAAATTTGTAAAGAACACGAATTAAATACAAATTTTTATCCTCGTGACCTCGTCTGCATAACCGGGGTATACGAGTATATAGATTGATGAAATATATTGTTTGACATAAGTTTTTCTTTGTTCTAAACATTGCGTATATAGCTAATTTCATAATACTTGATAAAATCGTAAAACATCAAGAAATAACATACAAACAGAGATATCTAATAAACAAATAAATTTTACGTCACATTTATAATATCAGTTAGTTAACTAGTTAAGATAAAATGCAACTTACGTCTTTTTCAAAGTTCTCTGGTTGAGTTATTACGAACGAGAAAGTTATAAACTAATAAACAAGCATTCTTTAACATTTTTATTAGTTATAGTTATTTTTATTCGATTTTTATTAGTTAAGATTTATTTATATTCTATTGTCCTATTAATATTCAAGCACCTTCGTAACTTGGTGTCTATATTTTATTTTTCTATAGTACTTAGGTAGGTATTATTTCTATCCTATTTATATTATAAATTTGAATTGAAATTTTTTTTTTATTTATTTATAATAATTAGATAGATAGATTTACCAGAAGGAGACTTTGTACAAAAGTCGATTGCTTGGGTACCTCTATCCCATTCGTGTTTCAACCGTGAAGTAGTTGTTTGCATGGCTGTGTTTCGGTTTGAAGGGTGGGATATGGCGTGAATTTACTGCGTACAGAGGAATACCACCTCAGTCCTCAGGAATGGCAACGCATGGGGGGTATCATGAGTGAAACAGTATACTCTGTTATGTCCGTGGTACTGGTCATGTCTATAGGCGACGGTTACCACTTTCCATCAGGTGGGCCGTCAGCTTGTATGCCATTCTAAGTTGTATAAAAAAATAAACTAGTATATATAAGAAACTATGTATATTTAAACTGACACAGAACTCTGAGACATGAGCAATTTAATAAAATTGTTTCTTGAAAAGGCCAATAAAACTTAAGACTTAATTACATAATAAAATGTACTTGTCATTATCATTAACTATATGTTGATTATGAACCATATTTGTTGTTTTTTTAATAAAAAATAAATAGATAAACTAATTTTTATCTGCGGCTTCGTTTGGGTGACTGGCATACATCGATTAACTGGGATAAAAAAGACCGTCTTCATACCAAATACTTAGGAAAGAGGCATACAATATACACGTATTTATATTTTATAACGTGAAATATGACAGATATAAAATATCTACTAGGTTAAAAAATTTCTTCTCGACAACTCAATCTAATAAGATTATTAGGCGATTATTATTACTCATTACAAGCCGTTTGTGTTCCCTATTATTGGTATACACTGGCAAGGCGAATAATGACAGGCGAGAATGAAGTCAGATCAGTTGGCGAATTAAAAATAAATTCACCAAGAATCAAACACAATAGTTTCCAGTGGGACCACGCGAAGATGGACCTGATACAGACACTGTTAGTCCCCATTATTAACAATCCCTTTCCCCGCCTGTGTTCCTTGTGTGTCCACAGAGGATTACGAGGATTTGAATCCCGTGAGAGCATTTTTACCTAGTATATTATATGATTCTCAAATGTAAGATAAAGAAATAAATTAAAAAATATTTTCGAAATGTGACGTAGCATTTTTTCGTACATATCTGTTGCGAGTTAATTGAAACAACGAGGTTGGTATATTTCCAGTGGATATATTGTAATGACGTCAAAATGACGTCACTTCCAAAAATGACTAGTTTGCGTGTCTCTGATACAACACTGGAAAAAATTTCGCCTGCTTTACTAATTTTCGTGAAAAAATCCCAGCATGTATGCATTTCGAAACATACGGTTTTCGTTATAATACCTATTTATAGAACATGTTTCGGTACTTTGGCAAATTAAGGATTATTCTACAGAATTTCCTTATTGTATTATATAATACAATTAAAACTCCATCGTGGCATACTTTAGAGGCGGCGACTTCTCGTCCATTTGTTTCACATAAAATAAACAAAGTTAATGAATACATATTTATGTTTACAGTAGTATGAACTTTTCCAATTATGAGTTTTTATGCGTAATTTTATGATATTGTATGTTTTACTGGAGCTGACGGCAAATAATGTACCCACATTATTTTTGACTGTTTATTGACCACTGTTCATACTGCAGCTATGTATATTTTTAGGGTTGCCATTCGGTTTAAATATGTAATATAGCATTTAAATTACAGGGTACAGAGGCAAAATACCTTAGTTTTTACCAGAGTAGCAACGCATGAATGGCACCATGGGTGTATTATCTGTTGTCCTTGTCTATAGATGATGGTTGTCACTTCGCATAAGGCTATATGAAATAATTACAATTATTTATATCAGTTTTACTCATGTGTTTACCTTCGGGGTTGTTTATTTCTATATCTCTATTTTCGGACTAAATAGGAGTGTTAAAGCATTAACAATTTATTCACTCCTGCGTATAATGAAGCGGTTACAGCGGTAAAACCAATGGACGACTGCTAAGTTAAAAATAGATAATCACGCACAACATCAACCAGTAACAAGAGTCGCTCATCACGACATCGCGAGAACGCCAATCATAACGCAGGAGAAATTTACATGACCTTTCAGGTTTTCAAAATTGTAACTGACTCGCAAAACAAAACTTCAACGCACAACATCAAATTTATATTACATCAACGCTTCAAATTATTATCTATTTTATTTACCCTAGTTAAATCGCTGCAAATACTAGGTGTATTTATTCATCATCATCATCATCATCATCATCATCTGTTCATCATCAAACGCAAGCGCACATCATTAACAGGAGTTTTTATCGTAGGAAAAATTTTCCCTTAGACCTATCACTTAAAACGACATATAACCTGTCGTGAGTTGGATCTGCTTTCTGAACAGCTTATT